TAATTGATGAAGATATCTCCATCTGAGCATGAGCAGTAATCAACTTGGTTTCCCACATCCAAGCGCCACTATGTTTTAGTGTACTGAGACTTTGCAAATAAGTAATTTTAACTCGAGACCTAGTGAAGTTCTATGATGAGAGTCTAAAACTGAGAACTTTTCTAGTGTTGGGCATATATCGAGTGTCTGTAAATCAGTTACAACACTGATGTTTTATGCATGAGTGTTATAACTAACTGACCCGGTTAGTTATAAAACTCATGTTTAATTAATCAGTGTTTATAACTTGAGTTATAGATCCTGTCATGTGACCCATAGCTGAATGCTCATTGGAAGAATGTCTAAKGAATAATTCATGAGTTTTAGAATTAATTCTTGTAAACCTAGTAACTTCATATTTGGGTTACCTGTGGTTACCTTCCTTGATCCCAGAACCCCYCATGACATTGGATGTAGATGATAATTTTCACCTAATTTTTTCATATTTTATCAATATTCAGGGATGGCAGACCATATTTTTGGCTGGGAARGGGGGGTTGCTACTGACCAGCAAAGGGGGATCATGTTCAGAGGCAGCCCTTGGACCTTCTAATGAGCAGATAGAAATATGGCCCCTGACCCTCACACTCCTTGATATTTATCAAAAAATGGCGAAAAAGAGGTAGCCCCCCTTTTACAGTCTGTTATGAAAAATGTACCTTTTCAATAATCTGTGACTGAGCCTGCAGTGCATTGAGTGACCAGGCAAAAATATAAAAACAAAGAAAACGATCCTTGCAGTTTTGCTCACACAATTACAATTAATTAATTAATTAATTACAATCACACACAATGTAATTCCGAAGGTCGATGGACTTTGTTTACGTCGATATGTTATTGAAGAAATTATTAGTATTTCATTATTAAATTCGATTTTTGTGATATTCGGATAATCAACGCCTTCGAACTTGGCTTGGGTGATTACACTAGCCTTGCGCTTTATTTTTTCGAATATCACAAAAATCTCATCTAACTATTGTTTACTATTGGGCACGGTCGTAAACAACACAGACGAATTAATCGAGCCTAATTCAGGGTGTTTTTGATATTATAAATTCTATTTTATTCCTTCAGAATGGGTACACCAGCTGTTGCTGACATTCTCTCCAAGACATCGACAGAACAAGAAAACTTTTATCGTTTGTCTCGTCTGCTGATAGTTGGAGGAACAACAGTCCTTAGAGATCTCYTYGACGTCATACACCCGCCGTCAATTCTATCATCCATTCTAGCAAATCCTGCTGTCAAAAAAGTCATCGAAAAGAAAGCTAATGGACAACAAAAACTCCGCCTTTACCCTYCTCACGGAAAGTGCGTGAAATCAGARGATTTTGATATTTCATTAATCACGYTGCTTCTTCAAAATGTGTGTAGCCTCAAACCACCTCTGGACGGATGGAATAAAATGCCTGGAGACTCCAATCAATCAGTATCTGACGACATTGTAAGAATACGAATGCTGCGAAATCAGGTGTATGGTCATATCACTGATATGGAGATCTCAGATGTTGAGTTTTCTGATCGTTGGTCCAAACTTTCAGATGCACTGATTAGGATTGAAAGCAACTTTGGCGAGAACAAGAAAAGAGAATGGACAGATGCGACGAAAAATCTTTTGACAAGTCCTTTAAGCGAGACAGACAGACAGAATGTCGAAGAACTGAMACGATGGTACGCCAATGACCTAGAATTAAGGGAGAGGCTTTCACAAGTGGAGCTAGGAGTAAATGACGTCAAAAAAGCGATAGGTATCAAGTGCTTTAGCTTTAATTGACTACGATAATTTATTTATTAGATATTGTAGGCCTCAACTCTTTCTTGGTCCAAGGGTTATTCTCAAGCAACGCTGGTTTTCCTTTGAATGATAAAAAAGCCATCAGAAATATTATTTCATGCTCCCTTCATGGTTTCTCAACCCTACTCCAGGTTACACAGTCCCATATTTCATTTAGTCTWAATTTCATTACATGTAACGTTATCGTTTTATCKGACATTTTTCAGGTGAGCTCAAATCGCTTTATACGGAAGTCAAAACAAAAACATGCTTAAAACCCCACCACAAAGACAAGCCTTTGARCTATTTCTGCCACGACTGCCAAGARAGAAGTTGTGAGTTGTGTGCTAGCGTGAAGCACCGTGCCCATAAAGTTTATGCCTCAGACACTGATCCTGAATTGGCGAAAATAAGAAAAGATATTAACGACGAAATCCTCAAKGCTGAGAATAAGATAGCAAGTGGAGACGACGAAATTCAGTCGTTCTCTCAAAAAGTCCATGATGCGAGAGCCCGTTTRGAGATCATTGAAAATATGGTTCATAGTTTTGCTGAAAAATGTGTGAACGAAATTCGACATCAAGAAMAGGAGCTGGTGAAAGCAATAGAAAGAATCTGTTTTCAGTCTTCTCTTGAAGTTGAAGAAATAAAGTCAAAGATTATAAAACAACAATCTGAAATTCAAAAAGCTATTGATTGCGCGCGTGTTTTACTGGAAAAAGGTGATTCCCACGCGATTTGTCAAGAAGCTAGCACGATCAAAGGGACCTTACAAGAGCAGTCAAGGTTTGAGTTGGTWTTTAGACCCCTGGCTTGCGAGAGGAAAACGTTTGCACCTAATACCTCTTTTTTTGATGATCTTTATTCCCATGGTATTGGACGTATATCTGCAGTTGACCCCCTTAAATGCTCTGCCAGAGGTGCTGGAATTGACTCAACTGCAACATTGCATCAAGGTCTAGAAAGTGAATTCACAATAACAATGCGCAACGGAAGAAATGAAGTGATTCACGCACCGTCTGAAAGACTGTCAGTCATCGTGAATTACAAACTACRGAAGAAGATCACGCATGGTGTCTTCACCCAAGACGTCTCCGAATATATCCGGGACAATCGTAATGGGACGTACACAGTGTGCTATAGCCCTTTGAAGACTGGAGCTGCCTTTGTGTCGGTAAAAGTTGGATGTGAACATATCACAGGGAGCCCATTTGAAGTACAAATCAAGGAACGCAGGTACGAGGCACAGTGTTTAATAGGAAAGAAAGGAAAAGGACATGGAAATTTCGATGGTCCATGGGGTGCTGCTGAAAACAGCAAAGGTGACATCTACATAACTGATCGAGACAACAATCGCGTCCAAGTCTTTGACAAGCAAAAAACCTGGAAACTAACTTTTGGCGAATTTGGATCTGACGATGGTCAACTGATACAGCCAAGAGGCATTGCCGTTGATCGTCGCGATGACGTCATTGTTGTTGACAACGGTAACAACCGAGTCCAAATCTTCGACAAAGATGGCAGATTCAAAATGAAGTTTGGAGGGCCTGGAATAGAGGCCGGACGTTTTCAAAACCCTTACTCTGTGGCGATAGATGACGATGAAAACCTAGTCATCAGCGATGTCGATAATAAAAGAGTGCAAGTATTTAATCCAAACGGCGAATACGTGAGGTCCTTTGGACAAGGTAATATAAAACGTTGTACATATTGCATATACCACGAGGGGCAGTACATTGTTTCGGACTCTGAAAGTTATCGTGTCAAAATCTTTGACAAAAAGGGACAATTTCTACATAGTGTTGGTAAACAAGGAACAAGAAATGGAGAGTTTGAGAAGTGGATTCGAGGACTTGCCATTGACAAAACTGGAAATTTACTTGTTTGCGATTCTTTTGCTGATCGAATTCAAGTTTTCCACCCTGTCGGTTCGTCCTTTGAATTCGATTCCACGTTTGGGAAAGAAGGATCAGAAGTTGGAGATTTTAGGCGACCAACGACAATAACAGTACTTCGAAATGATCAAATCATTGTCTGTGAATTCGTTAATAACCGAGTTCAGATATTTTGACAAACGGCTTGGTATTAAACTCTATATTCTCATTCACTTTAAAATTGATCTTGAGCTGATGGATGAACAATGGACATTTTTCCTTCAAACTTGGAGGCTGAGAAAACGAAATGCACAGAAAAACCGTGATGGCTATAGCAACAAGGCAGGCAGTTTACAGGAAAGTGAGTGAGTGAGTGACAGATTTTCCCACTACAATACTCTTCGATTGCTAAAACCATAGTTAACTATGCTAAAACGCAATCTCCGAGTTAATAATTAATAGTAATACAGAAAGCAATAAAGATAAAAAAAATCATGAATTAAATTTATTGATATCTAATCCACTGACTTCTCGCCGATAATGTGGATTGTAGCAATGAAAATAATTATGGACGAATTTTACGTAACACTTGCCATCTGGAAAACACACCCCTTAACACCAATAGGAAGTAACCAGTACGTAGCTTCAAAGTCTCTTGTGTATTACGTTTTGTTTTCATGAATTGTTCTTGTTCAGTGATAACTACATTGTACTATTAGATACAAACTAATAATTACTATAGCATCCTTTGTAGGCAACTCCACTCCGTGGGGCTCCTGTGTTTTAAAAGGCAAAAAAATCTGCCGGAGGGGGAGGGGGTTAGGAAGGATACCAGTTCTTCTCAGTCAAGATTATGAACACAGGAAGAAGAGAAAAATGTCCGTTTCCGTTGGAGTGATTGTTTCATGGTACAAGAAAAACCGGAAGTTGTGTAAAGAATCTTTAAAAACCGAATGCATTATGGGCGTCCTGTTGCTGGATTGCGTGACCAGACTGTTCTACCGTCTCGGAACTGCTGCTTTCCATTTTGGTTTTGTAGGAGAATTTACTCATAGACCTATTTATCCGCGAGAAAAAGTCAAGAAAGAAACCAAACTGAGTTTTTAAAGATTCTACTTAAAGAATCCTAACAGTTTTTGATTGATTAATACTAGAAACTTATATATGCGACAATTAGAGACGCAACGTCCAAGTATATGCAAGGTATGCGTGAAGTTAACATCGTTACTTGCTTTGTTCGATGTAAAAGTGACGAAAGTGTAGTTTTTACTCTGCTTCTTGTCGAGAAGAATCACAAAGAAATTATAAAGTCACAAGGGATCGTACACTCTCCATTTGCACCTATCAGACGTATAGTAGACATACTTATGCACCAGTCAAAGTAA